GTTGTAAAACAGCAAAATTTATTGAACCATCAGTAGATTTCCAAGGACGAGGAAAAAAAACAATAAGCTAGAAAAAAACAAAAAAATAATATCAATATTCATTGAAGATAAATTTCGAGTTTGATTATTTATTAAAGATAACGTCCGAGAAGGCAGTAGCAAAGATTTCAATCTTGATGTCTGCTGCTTAATCCATAGGAAAATATGTGGTACCATCTTACAAAATATACCGTGACACATTCACATCGACTTTTTTCAGTAGCAATCAATCTTTTCAAGACAGAAAATATCAATGTAGTAGAAAAATACTTGATCTTTATCCTTAAAAGTCGAATCTTCCTCCCAAGAGATACTCTGATAAGAGGGCTGAACGATATCCCCCAAAATCGAGAAATTGTTCTATTTATAGCAGAAATCCTTTAATCCCCACACAAAGTCCATTTCTCCTGAAATGAGAACAATTTTCCTATTACTACTGACACATCTCTAGTCAAAAGGTTGACAATAATTAAAGAATATTTGAATCACACTTTTTTTTTTAATATAATTTTCTTACTTCAAATTGATCTGAAATCAATTGACTATTATTATTAATAATATTTTCACTAATCGATAAATTTAAACATTTTATTTGTCTATTATCTTGTGTTGTTTCAATATCCATTGTTGTCATTGGTGGTGTTGAATCAACAAAAGCACTTGTTAATAATGTTTCAAGATTATTATTATTATCATGTTGTCGAAAACGTATTGAATAAATAAGCCATGAACGTGCATGTTTTCGATGTACATATATACGTGTTCGACTTCCAGCAGCAATTATAATTCCACGTATTAAATAATCATTTAATTGTTTAATACATTCACTAAATGTTATTGATGATTTAATTTTATTATATAATTGATAAAAATTTAAACCATATTCATGAGAATTAAGTATTGTATTATATAATAAATTATTTTCATTGAATTCAATTTGTTGTTCTTGTTCATAAACAGCTGAATATAATGGAAAACGTTCAATTAATTTATCAATTGTATATAATGATTTTTGTATATAAAAATGTTGAAATTGTTCATGTAAAAATTCATTTGAAAGAACAAATTTTATTGAACAACAACTAAGTGATGATGTATCTGTTGCATGACGACCACGTCCAAGTGGATTTTGTGTTGTTGAACCTGGACGTAATGTTGATTTATTAGATTTTATTTGATGTTGTTGTTCATGTTGACGATGACGATGACGAACAAGACTTGTTCGATTTAAAAATGTTTTTGAACATTCAGAACATTGATGACGAATTGATGTTGATGATTTCGTACGAGAAGTAGATACATCATTTTCATTTGTTGTTACCTGAAAAAAAAATCGTTTACAATCCTTTAGTTTTCCTCGGAACCACTGAGGGCAGGAGGTGGTAAATGGACGATCTTCGACCTCGAAGAAATCCTTTTCGATTTTTCCAAGTGAAAAACGAGTTTATGATCAGGACTGAAAGTGAATTCTGCTTACAATCGTTCCATTCCCCTTCCAAAATCTTAGATCCGCTACTGACTTAGAAGCATTGTTTAACCTCTTTTTTTATAAATCGAACCTTTACACTAGAGTATCAAACACAATAAACTAAAATGTCAATT